CATTCTTAATACCCTGGATGAGGATGCCATCTGAGGGAAAAGATGGATCCCCTTGGGGAGCTGCTGTGGAGTGGGTAGGAGACTGTAGAGTGGGCAGAATTGGCAGGTGGTAGATGGGCAGGATTGAAACCTCCAAGGTGCTTGACATTAGGGGGATGTGGATTTGTTTCTGGTTTCCCAGCAGTGGGATTCCACATGTTCAGGTGTTCTCTGAAGCTTTTATTCCCCCAACTGGGTTTAATTAGCCTTTCTCAGTCACAGCTCTCATCCATGTCTCATGCTTTTAAATGCTAGTAGTTTGAACAAATGTTGGCAAGGATGTGGTAAAAAAGAAACTCTCCTACATTGCTGGTAGGTGCAAACTGGTCCAACCACTATGGAAAGCTGTCTGGAGGTTCCTCAGTCTAATAAAAATGGAGCTACCATATGACCTGGCAATTCCACTCCTAGGGGTATACCCAAAGGACACAAAAACATTGATTTAAAAGAACGCCTGTACACCTATGTTTATTGCAGCACCATTTACAATAGGTAAAACCCGGAAACAACCCAAATGCCCAAAAATAGATGACTGGATCAAGAAGATGTGGTATATATACACAATGGAATATTATTCAGCAATCAAAAAAGATAAACTCATGCCATTCGAAGCAATGTGGGTGGAACTAGAAGGAAGTATGCTCAGTGAGATAAGTCAGAAGGAAAAAGAAAAATATCAGATGGTTTCACTTATAGCAGGAATATACGGGAACCAAACAATAATAGTACAAAACACAACAAAGCAAAAACAGACAATTATAAATCAGAGACCTACTGCAGGGGAGGAGGAGGGAGAGGGATCAGAGGGAGGGAGGAGCACAGGGAACTGAGGTGATGGTGCACAGGTGCACTGGTGAAGGAAACTCTATGGGGACTACACCTGAGGGGGTGGGGGGAAGAAAATATTGTTCAAACATGACCAATGATGTAAAAAATAAAAAAAAGAAAAAATTAAAAAAAGAAATGCTAGTGGTTTACTTTATTTGATGAGCCAGTTTTTCTGAAGTTTGATTCTTTTGCACCTCTTTGTAAGTTAACTTCTGTTCTTTTATAGAAGTTCACCTTGTCCCACAAAAAAATTGGGGACCTTAATTCTGGACTATGGGGTGAGAGTGGCATTGAGACTCCACAAGTGTCCCAAACTGCTGTAACAGATGAAGTAGGAATTCTCCATTGAGGTGGGAGTTTAAGCAGAAGAGCACTGACTGGTAACTTAAGATTTCAGCAGCAAACAGGAGATTACATCAGATGACTTTTCAAGTCATTTCTTTTCTGATACAAAGATTCTGCTTTTCTAAATGGAGGGTGCCAACTGAATACAAGTTGACTCTCAAACTACATGAGTTTCATATGTGCAGGCCCACTTATTTGCAGATTTTCTTTCTTTTTTTTAAAAAAAAGATTTATTTATTTATGCATACAAGAATTGGGGTATAGGCCAGAGGTGTGGGGGGCGACAGGATTCACCAGAGACAGAGTGGGGAGCAGAACAGGCAGACTGTCTGAACTACACTGCTGAGGGGAGCAGCGGGTGAGTCAGGAGAGGTCTGCTGTGCCATGTGGGTATCTCCCTGGCAGGGGATTGAACTCGTGCTGCAGTGGCTGTGGATAGCTTCACGGGTTGCATCTTAACCCCTTGCACCACCAGGGAGGCCCTATGCAGATTTTCTTAACAACAAATGACTTAAGATATCCAAATACCAAACAATACAGTTACAATTTTCTTAATAACATTTTCTTTTCTCTAGCTTACTTTATTGTAAGAATACATTACATAATATATATAACAGACAAGATATGAATTAATCAACTGTTTATGTTATAGGTAAGGCTTTCAGTCAACAGCAGGCTATTAGTTAAGTTTTGGGGAAATCAACAATTATATGCATATTCTTGATGCGGGGGGTGGCCCTAACTTCCATGTTGTTCAGAGGTTAAGCATGGTCTGTTCGCTCATTCATCCAACAAGGGTTTGCTGAGCACCTAGCCTATGCTGGACTTTATAGGTGGCTCTCGGGATATGATGGAAAATGAGACAGATGTGATGCTTCTCCCCATGGAACTTAAAATCTAGTGGAGCCAAGAGACATGAGTTAAATAATCACAAAGGACTGTAAATTAGGATGTAGTACATGCAACACAGGAGAAGTGAGTGGTGCCATGAGAGCCAGTAATAAGAGGATTTGACCCACTCTAAAAGGTTAGGGAAGCTTCCCAGAGAAATTCCTTCTGCTGTCACCAGGAAAATAAATAAATAAATAAACTTACACCCAATTAAACTATAGAATTCAAATATTTCAAAGTTCATAGTGTCACTAATGTCTACCTTAAGAAACTCTGTAAGGCAGTGTTGGAAGAGTTTGCTAGCAAGGGACATAGAAGGTGGGAATTGACTCTTCTATAAATAAGGAGATCAGAAGTTCAGTTAAATAAGTTCAGCTGTTCTCATTCACATGACTTTACAGCCTGTTTTTTTAAATGTTTATCTCAGAACTATTACAGACAATTATCTTTTTTGCAAAGAGAGCAAAAAATAGCTTACAGATCATTCCCATGATGCATTCTCTCTTTGGAGATAAAAGTTATCAAAGGGAAGATAAAGCCATGATTGGCACTTAGTATTTGTTGAATGAGTTGATAAATAAATAAACAAGAACAAACTTGAACAAGAAATAGCTTAAAGTCTAATACTTGGCTTCAAAAAATGATGTAACAAGGGGAACTTTTCTTGGCAAATGCTCCTGAGTAAAAACTTAAAGGGGTTTAATTATCTGCAACATTATATGGGCTAAACAGTATTATGAAACATTCAAAAAGCTAACATAAATGAAAGTTTCATGAAGTAAAGTACAGTGCCCACTTCTCTAGAAATAATCATCCCACACTATTCTTTGTCAGTTCAACCTTGAATTTCAGTTCTGGGCATGGTCTTCCAGGAGGGGCAGCGAGGACCTCCCTGGTGGCCTAGTGGGGGACTCAGTGCTATCACAAAGAGGGACAGTGGAAGGATCTAGAAGCTGGTGATGCCTGGATAAATAATATGAAAAGAGGAATAACTGGAAGGATCAAGGATGAGTGGTCAGGAGAAGAGAGGATCTGAGAGTTTCCTTCCAGTATATGAAGTCCCATCAGGTGAGAGGAGAGTGGTTTGTGCTATCCTGTCTTCAGACCTGTCCCCAGTCAGGTGACACCAGTACTCCTACTTGATTCCAAGGTTCTGACACACATAGGTCTGTGGATCAAGAAGTTACTAGATAAACCACAAAATAAAAAAAGTACTGAACTTTACTATGTGTAAACTGTACAAACAAGATTCCTTACAGCAGAATATCTTGGAATCTTTAGACACCAATATCATTGTAAGTATCCAAGTTAGAGAGGTGAATTCCATGTTTTTCAATCTTTGTCAAACTCAGAAACCTCTCAAGGAACTACTATCTTTCAACATACCCAAATATGCCAGCAAACCTTGTCCTAGACTTTTCTCTTTTCACCTAGCTCAGCACTAGCTCCATGGGGTTGGAAGACCAAAGGTTTAGACATGGTGCATACATTCAAAGACATCTTCATCCACAAAGAAGACTGATTAATAGCAAGCCTGAACTGGATAAGGATAGATGGAATTTCGCCTCACCTCACAGATTCACTGGGCATTCCTCAAGTACCCTATGGAGTAACGTGCATCATCCATAGTTTATGATACAGAAAAAGACTAAATAGTGGACTTGTAATCTCTGACCAAAGACTGAGAAACTTGGGAAATCATCTAGCTTTTTGTGTGGACATTGTTCAATCCCAGAAACTCATCCATCTTTCTTAATACCCTCCAATTCTCTCAAGTCAATTCACTATGAAGGAGTATTGCCACTCCCTCAAGGATATTAAATTGCTTAGAATTTTGTAAATACATGTTTCAAATTTACAAGCTCATTCTATCCACCCTATTCTTGGACTAGAAGGAAAAGAAATGAAGTCATCCTTCTGTTTTGTTTAATCTAGCATAAATTGCAACTCAATTGCAAACCTGATAGAAGTTAGGTCTTTATCTTCTTTTCTTTGCTAAAGGATGACAATAGAGTACTGAAGGACCAAAGAGATTGGCCCTTTTGCTTCAAAATGTTAGAATAAAAAAGAAGAAATGTGGTCTGTGAAGTACTTTATAACTTGCCTGGAGACCAGCACATGTGAAAGGGCCACACACCTGAATGAATGTTTAGAAAAAAGAGAGATTAACATAGGTAGGGTAGCATAGGGTAGTGGGGAAGAGACATTCCCATACTGAAGTGGGACTTCAGGTTAATATTTGGACAGGCAGAGAGGAGGAGAGGCAGAAAGTGAGGTCTAAGAGTCCAGGGACACCGGCAAAGCACATTGCATTCCACTCTTTCATCGCATACATTAACACAAATATCTTCATGGACGGGACGTTGTTTTAATTTCTTGATCACCTAGCAAGTTAGTTCTACCCCAATAGTCTCCTTTCACTTAACCCTAATAAATCATAGTGAATTACTATAGAAAACTTGGCCTATTACAGGGTAAGATTTAATGCTATGTTGAAACCACCTCTTAAGTAAAAATGAAAAACTGATTGGCTTCACCATATTTCTTCCCAGAAATGAAAACATTTATAAAGGTTTCCTTGACCACAAAGGGAAGAAAAATATGTTTGTCACTCTGTTTAATTCCTACAGACTCAATGACCACATGGCCCAGGAGGGCCCCAAACTTCCTGTCTCCATAGATGTGATCCTCTGAAAGTAAAATTAGCTCTCGTTGGCTGAACGTGCTCACTGCTTTTCACATGTGTACACTTCATCGGTGTTGTTATAAATAAATGGTATCTTGATTTAGGACGCACCAGCTACAGTTGCTATTTCAGTGCTGCCTTAGCAGTCTAAGCTTTCATGGCAAGTTGTATTTACAGGTACGAAAATGGTGGCGCAGACCTGCACACTTACCAGTCCCGAAGCTCTCCTCCCCACAAAGAGACAGTTTGCTTGCATCCATCAAATTCCCAAAAAACTTCCAGCCAGTTGGGGTTTCATACAAAGCGATCTTTGTAGCATTAGCCACCCTTCAAAGGCATGAAATCAAAGTTACATCACAGCAGGACAGTAGCAAAGCCGTGTGAGGGATGGAAAATAGCACCCGTTATTGTAATCAAGGGTTCCATTTAGCATGGCTCAGAGGTATACATAATTCTAAGGCTGGTGGAAAATCTAAGTGAAAACTTGTGCACAATGGGTTATTATATGTGGAGTCAGAGGAGGGGTTAGAAGAGGAAGGAGAAAGAATTAATTTAGATCACTGAGTAATATTTTAAAGGAAGTAACGGTAGCAAATGTGCAAGACTGTTTTTTAAGCCATTTAAGCCCACGTGGTTTTGATAGAGACTCATCTATAATAAATCTGTAAAGAACAAAAGAGTAATGTTTTAATCCTGTGATTTATTTTTCTCGGGTTTAGGAAGTCAGCCTATTGCAGACAAGCAAACTGGGTCCAGAATGTTATGTGTGATCAGCCAAAGGTCAGACAGCCAGGATGAACAACTACCTGCTATTCAACTGCTCAGTCAATGCACTTTCATTTCACCAGAAAGCCTGGCAAGGACACTGCCCAGTGGGGTCTCTCATTTACATCAGTTTCATCCACAATGATCCACAAACCCCTTTCTCCTCCAACATCTCTTTTGCTCTTCCATATATATCTTTAGACTATTTAAAACTTTCCTTGAGTGACTTTTTTAAAGATCACTTCCCCTTGAACAGGAAAAGTTACATATATTTCACTCACTATTTTAAGTGAAATTTACTTTCCAGAATGCTTGCCTTCTTGCTAGCAAAACAAGATCATGTTTGGATTCTAGCATTTGAGCAATATTAAAGCTATGATTTTAAAAACTGTGAAAGTATAACACACTTTTATCTGGGTCATGAGGTTTGCTCATTGTCTCTATATGAATTAAAATTTTTCCAAAAATTGGAATTTAACTGTGCTTGGCTGATCTGATTGAAGGTATAACATCACGGCCACAAACTAGCTCATGACTGCAGATGGGGGAGTGGAGGCAGGCACCAGTTTCTGATTCTAGCTCTGATTTAGCTGTGGGATTCTAGAAGACTACTAACTTCTCTGACTTTTGGTTTCCTCTTTTTTTAAATAAGGATGGCTACAAGGATCAATTGAGGTAGTGAATATAAAAGCACAATGTGTAAACTACAAACCACTCAATAAATATCAGTCATTATTTTCTTGTTAGATGAAATTACATCAGCACAGTAGAAAACTACTTTATGATCCAGTGGTTGGGGCAAAGATTCTGGGTTCAAACTCTGACTCAGTCGTTCATTAGCTGAATGACCTTGGGAAGTACCTTAATATCTTCTTTTGTTTTCCCACCTGTAAAGTGGTGTCATACACAGCATTTACTTCATGGGATTGGTGTGATAATTAGATGAGTTAAAACATACAAAGTACTTAGTGTCTAAGCACCATAAGGTGATGAGCAATACATACTAGCTATTATATTAAGAGTCTAGATATTAAGCTTTCCCCCTGGTTTTGACTTTTTATTCATTCACTCATTTATCCATTCATTCAGCCAATATTTACTGGGTACTTAGCCTCTCCTAATTATGTTCTTCCCAGCCATTTGTTATTTATTACTTACATTTCAAACTGTTTTAGATATGATCTCATAAGCCGCCTTACAGCATTTGTATAAAGAGGGAACAAATAACAAGTAAACAAACAAATAAGCAAACCAGATGTATCAACATTTATTGCTACCAGTTCCTTTCTTTCTCACAAAAACACAATGTAATATTTTTAAGTCTACGAGCTTTCTGTTTATATTTAGATAACAGAACATTGACTGTGTTTATGTTTGCATGGACATTGAATGCGATAAGATATAGAATGCTCCTCTGAAAGTTCCATTGAAATACAGATTATAATACTAATTATAATAAAGAAATAAAATGAAATTATAGTATTATAGTATTATAATGAAATACTAATTATTATAAAGAAAAAAAGAAATACAGATCTTACTTCAAACTGCTCTTGCAACCCACACTGAGCACACTGCTGAAGGAAATGATTCTCTAGAATGATGTCTTGACCACAATGAAAACACCATCTTTTTGCTTATTTATTAATATTCAATCATTCATTTTTTAACTGAAGGTATAGGGGGTTCAGGGGTGGGTGTCCTACTATGTGCCAGGCACACAATGGCCGGACAGAGGTTAGGATGGTGAATAAGACATTTATCTGTAAAATTTTATTATTTAGCAGGGCAGGCAGTCAAGGAAACAGGCTATCACAACACAGTGTGATAAAAGCTGGGGTGGAAAAAGTATAAGTGCTAAGGGAGATGGGGAAAAGGGCATCTATCCCAGAAAAAATGTCACCCACTCCTATATAAAATAAATACTTATTTAGCACATATTATGCACCAGAGGCTTACACTGACAGAAAAGGGTTCCAGGCACACTGATGAACCTGGGAAAGGCCAAGGGAATGCAGAGGCTTACCGGTCCAGGGCACCACTGGTGGGCATGCTGCGTGCAAAGCCACGGACCCCGGTTTGCTGGAAATACGGAATGCTGAAGATGTTGGCAGCAATGACAGCCACTGAGTCTGAAGGGTTCACAAAGAATCCATGCTTGCCCAGAATCATATTTCGATCCTTTGGGAGAAAGGAGATTCAAAGGAAGATCTTTTAATCAAACTGCTGAAGAAACCAACTACCTTACATGGGGAGTATTATAAAATTTAAATCTGATACATTTATTCACTATGGATAAACATTGTATTTTATTTTTAATGAATCTGTACAGTACCACTGGGCCAAAGATATCTCCATGCCAGAGAGCTAAACTGTTTTCAATTAAAGTGCAAAGGCAAACTCCTTCTGAGTCAAATACTCTGTTCTCCCTCCAGAGACCACTGACTTTAAACTCCCAGATCTCTTCCAAGCTCTGGAACCAATCACCCCTCTTCCAATGAAGGAAAGAGATCACAATGAGAGGAAATGTAGCTGTTTACAGAATTTGGTAGGTCTGCTAGGCATCCTTTAAGGAACAAAGCAGTTTTTTTCAAGGGAAGACTTCTAAATCATGATTCCTCCATTTGGTGCAGGACCCAACAGAATAATACTGCCCCCTTCACTGCTTCCCTGGTGCCTGGTCAACTGGGAGTACTCAAGTGACTAAAGCATTGAGTGGGGAACTCCCAGCATGCACTGCATCAGAAAGATACATTGACAAATACTGTCTGCTAGGGACCCCTTTATTTCCCAACACTTTGTTATGGGAAAAGTTATTTTTTAGGAAATAGTAGATGTTAACTATGTTAACAAACAACAGCAACAACAACAAAAAAATATTTTCAGCTAAGTAAACAAGTTAATGTATGTTATCTCTGAGATGCCAAGGATATAAACCTGACTAAGACACATCTCCTTTTGTTATATATAGTCACTAATGTAAATGAAACAACCTGTTTAATTAAAAAGATTAAATGTAGAGAAGTAATGGAACATTAATTCATTAGTTTCACGATTAGCTAATGTGAATGAATGACAAGGTTTACCAAAGATTGGATAAATAGCCAGCTGCTGGTTGAGAGCAGAAATCTACTTTAGGATGAGTATCTAGAACCCAATCAGTTCATGAAACATAAGTCATTACTTTATAACCAGGCTCTGAATATTCTGCCACTTCCAGCAAACATGATTGACTGAAATTAAATACATGAGTTTGATTTCAAGGACTGATTTCTATTCAAGTGCATACTTCAATAACTTAGCTCTGATGCCAAGTGTAATGAGGGATCCTTGACTGTCACTCACTAGTCCCACAGCATTTGGTAGAAGCAGACCACTTTTTCCCCATCTATAGACTAGGACCTGGCCTCACCTTTAAATAAAAACAACCTGTTAATTAAAATTATTAACTTCAAGACACCTATACCCACCCCATCTCCATCAAAGGCAGCCCCAAAGTCATGCTCTCCTGTCTTCATGGTCTCCACCAGATCAGCTGCATAGGTGAGGTTGGGGTCAGGATGGTGACCTCCAAAGTCCTCCAGAGGAACACAGTTAACTGCTGAGTTTGCCGGGGCACCAAGTTCTTCACAGAGGATCTTCTTCACATACGGTCCCACAACTATGTAAAGCAGGAAACAGAGAATCAGGAAACAAAACTAAAGAGTGTGAGGAATTGGGGATAGGGTGGAGGGTTCCCAGGGAGAATGGCATGAATAAGAATGGGTGAGCTATGCTCAGGGGCTAGTGGAGAGAGAAATTTGACCACAGAGTACAGTTTTTAGAAAAGGAATGAAGAGAGATTGGGTTGGAAGGGGGCAGGGCCAATAAACCAAGGGCAGAGAGAGGGAAGGGAAGGGATCTCACCATCAGGAAGGCCCTATTACACACCTGGGCCAGATGCCTCTCAACCATTTTCTCACTCAGTCCTTCAGGAAAAGCCCACAAGGCGATAGTGTTTTAAGAGACTGGACTCTGGGATCACCATGTCTAGGTTCAAGTCTCAGCTCTGCCAATCATTGACTATATGATTTGGAGGAAGTTACTTAATCTTTCGGTGCCTCTCTCTATCTCAACTGCAAAATGAGTATAATAATAGTAGCTACTCTACTGATGTGAGGATTAAATGAATCAATATAAAGCACAGAGAATAGCTTAATAACTGATATGAAGCACTGGCCCATATAAGAGTTTGCATTATGATTATCACCTCCAAATTACAGATTAAGAAAACTGAGGTTCTAAAATGAAACTACTTGCCCAAACTTACACAGGTCCTTACATCAGAACCCTGACCTTTCTAGTATATCAAGTTATATGACAAACTGATTTAAAAGAATATAAACAAAAGACAATAAAAAGACAACAACAAATAACAGGAAAAAACAGTTTTTTGGGTGACATTTAGTCTAACTACCAAAAACATTCATCTAAAGGGCCCGGAGGAAGAAGTCCACTTGATAACCAGCTTCCCCTCCTGGATACTTCTTCACAAGTTCTATTCTTACGCCAGCCCAGACTTCTCACACTCTTAATGTGATGTCTATTTTTTAGTCTTCATGCATTTGCTGCAGCCATGGCCTCAGCTGAAAATCACCACTGTTGATTTTTCTTTTATTCAAGCTGACCTAGTCACCACTTCTTCCACAAACCTTGCTTGATATCCCTAGTCAAATATGCCTTCTTCCACATCCCAAAGAGAATTCTTGAAGTGCTATGTAACCCCCATTTGGAGTAACTGGCACTAGTTAGTTTTGCACCCACCTCACCTCCCCCCTGCATCATAAGCTCCTTGAAGGAAGTCATCTGCCTACACCCCCCCACCCAGGTATGCATGTAACAGCAACTCAACATGTGCCTGCTGAACAGTTTTTGAAATGACAGAATAACATGTCTGAATAAGGAAGTAAATCCATTCTGTGGGCTCCAGAGGGCAAGTGCAGACCCCAGAGGGATACTGCAGGTGTGGGAGATCTCAGCCCACAAGGTGGTTTTTATCCACGGTTTTGTAGTATAACAGGAGGCTATGAATTGCATCAATGGCAGGGTTCAAGTACAGCTAGGAAATTATCCTCCAACTAGGAAGGCAGAAAGATTCCCAAACTGGGGAAAATCCTTGCAACTAAGAGACTATAAAAATTCTAAGTTGTTAACAACTTAGTTGTTAACAAACAAATCAACAACTTAAGTGCTTCTGCATTCCCATAATCCTACACGTGAGAAAACCATCTCTACTAACCTGGCCACACAACCCACAGAGGAAAAAGGAGGGGGGGAAGAGACACATCCTGCCTTCCTGGATTTAATCCTCATCTTGCTCTTGTCCTCTTCCAAGAAAAGGTACATGTGGGGCAGGCAAGCCAGGGGTGTAGGAGTTTGTTTACCACATCTAGTAAAAGACATTCCCCCCTTGGAAAAAGATGGGGGTGTTTGGGAAGAATGTAAGGTATCTTCTGAGGGGGAGGAAGTCCACAAAACAGTTGCATGTACTGAAAAGCTGTGCTTAATAAGGAAACACTGACCTTCACACTACCTTGCCAGGAGGAATGTCTCTCTGTTATTTTTGCTGCATACAAATTAGATTTTTATCTGTGTAAATATTGCTCTGGAATGGTTGCAAAACAACTGTTTAAAAACCAACAGAGAGTTTTGCAAAAATGTTTGCTAAAGCATTCAGATATATACAGTAGAAGGCAGCTTCATATCTTTGAGAGAGAGATGGAAGAAATGGCGCATACCTCCGTGCATGGCATCTATACGGATCTTTAGTCGGTTTGGACCAGAAAGCAGTTCTTTCAGTGCACTGAAATCAAAGATGTTTCTCAGCATAGTAGCATAAGCTTCCACTGAATCCACGATTTCCACTGTGAGAACAAGGAACATTAAAAGATGGAAGAACTAAATACAGAAAAAAATACTATTCTCTGAAACAATATTACTGTAAGCTTATAACAGTGATTTTAAAAGAACAATTTTTAAGCAGTCCAGTATGCTAGGACTGGTACGTGATCTCTCATGTTCAATACTGACAGTTTTCCTAAGAGGTCAATGCTATTAGTCCTGTTTGATAGATACAGAAGCTCAAGGTCAGGGTGATTAAGTAACTTTCCTACACAACCAGGATGAGGCTCGCCTGATGGTAAACTTAGCCATGTTGCCAAATCCACTCCCTTTCCCTGAGGGTCCCACACACACACAAAAAAGTATATTCTTGTGTCAAAGGTAATAGAATCATACACCTATTTTTCTTTCCTCTTCTTTTCCCAGGCCCACTGCCATCAAGACTTAATAGTAAAACGCAGAAAAAACATTTTTAATGAATCAATTTTCACGAGCACTTAAAGAAATAAAAGTAATGTAAGAACTTAGTATTGTAGTTCTTATTGTTGTCTTTTCATTATGAGCTTTAGAAACTCTCTACCGACTTGGGGGTCATTTCTGAACTCCAAGAATGTCTTCAAAATGTACCAATGTGCAACTTTCTCTTGATTTAGGAGGCATTGTCAGCTCTCAATGTCAGCTCTCTCTAACAAAAACATGCCTTCCATAAGTTGCAGTCCAGAGAAGAGAATACATGTTAGGGCAAAGTGAAAATGCAATTGCATTGCCAACCACCTCATCTTCATTTTATTAATATGAGTAACTTTATAAACATTTATTCCATCAGTCACTGTAATACTCTGGCCATCAACAACAAAATATTAACCATAGCTGCCTATGCAGGGAGTTTTCATTTAACCCCCAAAATGGTCTCATATGATTGTAGTGATTATTAGGGCAGGAAAAACATCAAAGGGCAGGCTTCAGAATCACTCACACCCGAGTCTGAGTCCTGATTTACATCTCATTGACTGTGTGACTTTGAGCCTGTTGCTTAACCTCTCTCTGTCTCTGTTTCCTCATCTGGAAAAGTGAATCCCAGTATGTTGCCCTCATAGGGCTATGCTAAGAATAAAATGAGATCATGCATGTAAAGAATGAGGTACATAATAAAATTTCAGTAACAGTTACTGGTCTTCTAGCCAAGGCTGTCCATTTTACAGGTATGAGGCCTAGAGATGTGGACTGACTCACCCAAGGTCACAAGGATGATCACTAGCAGGGCCTGGAGAGCCCAGGTCGCTAAACTCCCAAACCCAATTCCAAACCTGCTGATTCAAGCATACAATCACACTCTTTCCAAAGCTGCAGACCCAAGGTATTAAACCTTGAAAGGCACATTGCTCAAGTTGGAACTATAATGGACAGCAGGTGGGTGGAATGAAACATGCCTGTGAAGGGTTTGAACTTGTTTTCTAGGTCAAACTGCTGCTTTCCCAGTATTCCAAGGTCTACTTTCAGGTCAGGACAAACTGCATATTCTTCTATTGTCTTGCTAATTTGGAAAATCTTATCAGTGATTGCTTCTGGAGCAGGACCTGGAAATCAAACAGCAAACGGAGACTAATTTTGAGTGGCTGACATGGAAATACAAAGAACATAAATAAAGCTCATCCAGTCTTCTTCACATTTGCCATTCCATCATTCAGGTAGCAAAGTATGAGGATTTTCTCAAAGAAAATATCATGTTCATGATCATTCATGCATGGTTCCTCATAATTAGGTACAGAACAATGAGAAGCATTTCATTTTCACCAAAAGGAAACAAAGAATCCTCTTGCTAAGGATGAGAGCCAGAACCCTAGCCTCCCAAGGCTTTGCAATTGGCTTTCATCCTACTGATGTGTCCTCAAAGCAATAGCAAACTCACCTCCATTGGAAATGTTGAATTTGATTCCAAAATCTCCGTTGGGCCCTCCTGGGTTGTGACTGGCTGTCAGAATGATCCCACCAATGGCTTTGATTTTTCTAATAATGCAGGACACTGCAGGGGTGGAAAGGATTCCATTCTGTCCAATAACCAAGCGACCAATCTTGAAGAAGAAATACAAAATACACACTATAACATGAATTAATCCAGAGCTACCACACAGAAACACCAGCACAATAGACAGATGGACAAAGAAATATGTTATTGGACCAGGAAACATATTCTTTAATGAACAGCTACAGTTTTGGTGGTGTTATTATTTTTATTTTGAAGAACATTATTATTGTTGATTAACATTATTTTTGAAGTATAATCATCACTGTTGAACAAAGCCAATACTTCAGATAGTTTTGGAACCTTGCAGTTTTTGAACAATGTATGGTCTGGAGCTGCTATAAGATTTTGGCAAGAGAACACAGAGGATTCAAAACAGAGCCTTTCCAGACTAAGTTCATAATAAGGATATACTGAAAAGTTGTGAGAAACCCACATTTTTATCCAATTCAATCATATTTTTAATCCACTTTGGGAGAAGGGATATGAACATTGCTCGTTAAATGAATTCTACCCACAGAGAAGACTTTTGTAAATTAAAATGCTTGAAAAAAGAAAAAAAAGCAAACTTTGTATGAAGAATATTATAAAATGTATCTCATCAATTTATATTTATGGTCAGGCCTGAATTTAGACAGAGTAGGTACCTGGGTTGCCTCCTGGGCTGAGGCAAGGAATGCTGGGAGTTATTACTGAGTCAACCAGTCAGAAACACCTACATGAAAGGACTGCAGGTGGTACTTTGGCTGTGTTCTTAACTCTTCTTCCTATGTCTCTCACAGATGGTATCAGCTCCGTTCCTAAATCTCCCTTTACAAAAATGACAGTAATTTGTATTTGTTTCAACATGACCCAAGTTGGAAAAGAAAGATGTAGCATTGTCAGTTCCTCTGACATTCTTGGAGAAGATGTGACTGCTACATAAACAGATCTATAAACAGATTTATAAAATGAAGAATTTGTGCTCTCTTTCCATTCTCTGAGAGAAGAAATGGACAGGAATGTTTTAAATTTTCCTTTTAAATTAAAGTTATTTCTTTTCGCCCCCTCTCAAAATAAGCATTGTTGAAGAAATGACTTGATGGTAAAAGAGGTGTTTCTAATATTCAAAATGTCAATGAGATGCACACAACCTTTGGAAACTTTTTCTGGGTTTTCAATACCCTCCCACAGGTCACCAAAAACTTGTCTGCCTTATAATTCAAGTCCTCCACAGTCAACCACCTAGAAACAGCTGTTTCATTCCAGCCACCTCTTGGCTCTCGTATATATGTCTGGCTCTGAACAACTTTGGTTATACTCATATATTTGTTATGTTCTGTCCCCCTCAGGAAGTGGGAATGATCGGGTCAACTGTTCTAACGAGGCTCTTTTATAGACTAAAGGAACCTGCAGACAAGGTGAAATCAAAAATATGAGTGATTACTAATGAGGTGCAGACTGTTTTCTAAGCTTATGGAACAGTTCATTCTCACACTTGCTCCTCCCAAGTACCCCTGCATTGATGAAGAAGCTAAGGCCTAGAGTTGTCCTGCTCCTGCCCTTTTACTCATTCATTCATCCACCCAACATCAGTAATAATAGGCATTTGAGGGCAGGTGCCATGACAGACATTAGCAGAGGTGACATCACAAGGTCATGTGACAAGTGAATGACCATAGCTGGGAAAAGCATGAAAGCTCATGACTCCATATAGTGGGAAGAGTAACATCTCACTCTTTCAGCAGTTTTTGAGTGTGGCTTTGATGAAAATAAAAGCTTAAGGTTGGGTAGTCACATAATTTCAATAAGAGGCACTTAGGATAGCAATTTAATCATCTAGAGTGGCTAGTAGAGTAATCTGGAAATTGTATTTGAATATCAGGCAAATTTTATATAGATTTTGTGTGTATTTACTGCATGTATTCAGTATGTATGATGAATGAATAGTAAGCTATGTCACATAAATCCCTCCTTAATTCTGCCTTTCCTAACAGTGAGCTCTGCAATCAGCAACCTTCCAAGACAGAGAGGATTATACCAGGGATAAAAGCAAGAAAGAAATGCAAAAGATAGAAGCCAGGGAAGTCTTTCTCTTGAGCCCGAGAAGAAATAAAACTGCCCAAAATATCTCCTTTCAGAGAAGACTCTTTCCTGTGATCACCCTCTGCAACACTACTCCTCAGTATGATATTGGGAGATAATATTTTACTATTCTCCTTCCCTTCAAAATGTCTGGATCACTGTAATAGCTCCTGGCTCAATCTTCCCTGCCTCTCTCCTGCCTGTATTTCCCTTGTTCTATCCTGGTTGAATCCATTCAATTGACTCAGGCCCACATAGTTCATCTTTCTTTCTTTCTTTTTTTTTTTTAAAGATTTATTTATTTATTTATTTATACAAACTGGGTACAGTCAGAAGCGCAGGAGGGTTAGAGAATTCACCAGAGCCAGAGCGAAGAGCAGAACAGGCAGACTGACGAAGTACACTGCTGAGGGGAGCAGCGGGCGGCAGGAGAGGTCTGCGCGCCATGTGGGACCCTTGCCCAGGGACCGGGGATTGAACTGGTGCTGCAGAGGCTGCGGGCAGCTTCGCAACCCAGCGCTCAACCGCTGCGCCACTGGGGAGGCCCTAGTTCTTCTTTCTTAAGCACAGATCTATGCCGCAGTTGTAACACCAGTAGAGCCCACTGTTCTCTGACATTTCACAATTGTGTTCCTCCTCTATTCAAAAGCCTTCTCTCTACTACATCACCTACTATATAATCCTCCTGTATACTTCTAGGTAGAGACACAAAAGAGCTGATAACAGGCACCCAAACAGATATCTTACATACTATGTTCATAGCAGCATTATTTAGAAGAACCAAAAGGTGGAAACAACTCAAGTGTCCATCAACAGATGACCAGATAAATAAAATGTGGCGTCTACATACAATGGACTATTACTCAGTCTTACAAAGGAATAACATTCTGTTGCAACATGCATGAAGCTTGAAAACATACTAAGTAAAATAATCAGTCACAAAAGGACAAATATTATATGATCCCACTTATATGAGCATACTGAATAGGTAAATTCATAGACAGAAAGAAGAACGGAGATTGCCAAGGGCTGGGGAAAGGGAGAGGGGATCTGATGTTTCATGATAGAGCTTCAGATGGGATGAGGAGACGTTTCTGGAAATGAACAGTGGTGATGGCTACTGAACATTGTGAATGCAATTAGTGCCACTGACCTGTACGCTCAAACGCAGCTAAAATGGTAATTTTTAAGTGATGTATACTTTACTGCAAAAAAAAAAAAAAGGAAAAGAAAAACAAAAAAGAAAAGCCCTTTCCTGACTCCCAAGTATCTACCAACTTAGAGATAACTTCCTCAGCCTGACATTAAGGTTCTTCATCAAATAGCCTTTTCTGCCCTTCCTCCTCCCTCACCACTTCCTTCCTCATGACTCACATACACTCCCAACCTGCACAAATCACTGTTCCCACAACATTTTAAAATCAAATATGGCAGAGAGCAAATGTGAATTTGCCTTTTTATTGAAAATAGAGTCTGGTGTTTTCTTACATTTCACAAAAGGAGAAGTTCCAATTTCTTTGCCCGACTAGTCATACAAGTAAGTTATATTCTCATTTCTAAACTTATCTCCAAGTTTAAAGCTCTGGGGACTGAAGGAGTATTATTTATAATATGTAGTAGTATTATATATAAATGGAGTCTCTCCAAATGTCTTCTGGCATTAAAATTTCCTGCAAATGCAGGCAGCTCTATGCAAGTAAAAACAAAGAAAAATTTCTAACAAAGGCAGAATTTATCCTGTCATCCACAGATGCACTAGACAAAAGTGTAGTAAAGAAAAAGAAATGCAGGGATTTCCTTTTAGCTCAGTGGCTGAAAAGACCTCCAAGAATTAGCTCATGGGTAGAGGAGTAGTTATTGACAAAGGTGAGGAAGGAACATTGGCTTCTATCAAGATCTATGGCAATAAATTATCTTTTCTTATGATTTTCTCCCTAGAGCTCTGTCTACAATCAAAGGGATATTAAAATAATCAGAATATAGGATATGTTAGAAAAAGAAGAAATCAAACATATAGGATTTGATAGGTATTATCAAAGTGCTTTTCGGTCCACTAAATGTTTAAGTAATTCAACTGGGTAGTATGACTGCTTTAAATGCAACACTATTTTTAATAAGGAATGTCCTTGAAAAGACTTGAAAATATTGCTTGGGCTGCCAACCTCTAACAAATAGGCAGTTACCATACTTAGTCAATTATTATCACTTAAATGTATTATTTAGCAAAGCTTCAGATCGTAAATCTGAGAAAGTCTATTGGGTCTGCCTGAATTACACATTCCTACCACCTCTTGCACATCTTTTAGCTCCACACAAAAATGAAATGAAGCCAAATATATCACAGCAAAGGGGACAGTGTACCAGATCCACTCAACAATCTAGATATATGCGGAGAAATAATGTTCCATTTGTTCTCTCTCAAAAGATTAAAAGCTTCTTAACATCATTCCCTTTGCAGCTCGCCTCAAAGGTGAAATTTACAGCATGTCACATTTTATCTTAAAAATGTGTACGCTTCATAATAATTTCATAGCTGAGTGCTTTATCAGCAATTTTTACATGTGAGGCATTCAGATTCTGAAATGGTATAAAGGAAATCTCGTATTGTAAGAAATAGGGTCTACAAACACTTTTAAACTTAATTCGGTGATGTGTGTTTAGTTTTGTATTTTTAATTTGGCATTTGCAATCACACCTATTTGGTGTATTATTATAATAGGCTGACAATGAATCCCAACACATCTAGGAACAATGCTAAATTTTCCGTTTTCAGAACTAGAATCATTTGCAGAAAGAAAAAGAAAATGAGATTACTGAAGGACTAGGTACTGCAAATTTTTGTGAAGTATAATCTAAAACATTCAAAATATATTTTTGGTCCCAGACAAGAATTTGAAGAGCAAAAATGGCAATGTCCTGATGTCTGCCTTCTAGTAAATCAATGGGATTTTGCAAATTGCTAGATTATCAAGATCAGTGCTTTCT